ATTAATGAGATATTCCACAAGATACATTGTGATTTTTTCTTTTTGAAATGAATATAATTTAATACTTCATCTCTTCAATGTCCCTTAAAAAAAAAGGAAGTAGAGGTGAGGAAAAGGCCATTCCAAGAAGAGCTTCCCCTCATGTTGATTTTGGTGAAACTTTCTCTTTCTTAATATAAGCATTATCTTAACTAACTGAAATAAAATAAAATAAAAAAGTAAATTAAAGAAAAGAACTTTATAAAAACATAGTAAGTATCAATTAATAAATTAATTCATACAAAAATTGATGAAATAAGAAGAGAAAAAACCAACCTAACATGCCAAGAAAAGAGAATAGCTCCGCTAGAACTACATGCATCTCTTTCCTTTGTTTCCCATGCCACTTATTTCTAAGGAATTTCAAACTTCCATCAATAAAGTTAACCCTAAATCACACGCTAAATCTTCTTCCATCATAAAGCTAAAACCTCAATATTCAACTCTTTTACTCCTATTGAGATGATAATCTCTCAAATTTATAGGGAAGTTTGGTGATATCATCAAGGTTTAGATTTGTATTTAAAACAAGTTCAACTCCACAACTTCACGTGATTTTTGTTAGACCAAAGTAACGTTTACTAAAATATTTAACTTTAATTTAAAACAGACATAAATGCTAGTGCCTTTTTTCAGCAAGGCACATAAATTTTAATGATAAGTTGCCTATCATCATTACTTATAAGGCTTTTCTAACTTCTTCCATTAGTGCACAAGTTAATACCATCTTTTTGTTATAAAGGTATATAAAAATATAAAAGTTGATATTAATTTTAATTTATTTCCAAATAAATAAATTTAAATTATTGCTAAATAGATAAATTTAATTGGATGATTGATAAATTAAAACTTAACTTTGGTTTTTCCAACACAAATTGATGGCAAAACATTATTTTTCTTACACTTTTAGTGCACACTAAATGCTTACATTGATACATACTCTAATACATTCATCAGTTCATCTGAAAGATTGTTAACAATATAGTACTTTGGTATTCTTCAACAAATATATTACTTCATTTACGATTCTACTACATATTACCCTCTTGTTTTGCCTTATTTACCTACACGTTTAAAGATTATAGAACTTAAAATTTACCATACCATATATACATGTGCATGACTTTATATAATCTACATACTCAGAGGGCCAACAATAATATATATATATATTTCAATTGGGATGTTGCAGTAATTTGTTTTCTCTGCCAAGGAAAGGAATTTTTATCATATCCATCTTTTTGTGTACAAAGGAAGGGAAAAACTAACCACCAAATTGAGAGGTAAGGACTTTTGGGATTAATTTTTAAAAAAGATCTACAAAATAATGGTAAGAAAACTAAAATAGCTTATTACAAAGTTTGAAATCAAATACAAAACCATGGGCAGAGACAAAAAGGGAAGAAATCATTCACAGGAGTAGCGAATGATCAAGCAATCATCGGGTAGTTTGTTGCAATTTCTTTGAATCTCTAGAAGAACACAAAAGGGCAGAAGCATACACACTATCAAAATGATGTCTAGGGTTGCTGTATTGGCTAGCTTAGCCCATTAAGGCCTCTTTGGAAGTGCTATAATAGTAGCATAGTTAGATTGAGATTGTGGTTTTTCAACATGACCACATTTAAGGATTGTAGTTGTTCAAACTAATATTTTTTTGTACCAACACAAATTGAAAGAAACTTCTCTCTAAGTAATTTTCTTTTCTTTTCTTTTTTATAAAAAAAATTATTATCTTCCTTCTATAATTCTACTATAATTTGAGAGTGATCTTTCAACTATAACATTTTAATTATGCTTAAGATTATACATCATATGATTAAAATTTTCATTTCAATGAAAATGTAGTGAGCAAAAATGATTTCTTTTGCCCAATTGTAGTACATTCAATATGTAAAATTACAATCGAGAAAATACATCACAACAATGGATTATGGTGTAAAACTAAGAAAAAAACTACAACTTAAATATCATATCAGACTTCTCTTCTTTTAAAGTCTTAACATCTATTGAGATATTCAACAAGAGACATTGTAACTTTTTCCTTTTTGAGATGAATATAATTAATTTAATACATCATCTCTTCAATGTCCCTTGAATAAAAAACAAGGAAGGAGAGATGGGGAGAAGACCATTCCAAGAAGCATTTCCCCTCATGTTGATTCTAGTGAAGCTTTCTTTTTTCTTAACATAAGCATTGCCTTAACAAACTGAAACAACCAAAAAAAGAGAAAGTAAATTAAAGAAAAGAAAACGGTCAAATTTTATAAAATGATAATAAGTATCAATAAATAAATTGATTCATACAAAAATTGGTGAAATAACAAGAGAAAAAACCAACCTGACATGCCAAGAAAAGAGAATAGCTCCATCAGAATTACATGCATCGCTTTCCTTCATTTCCCATGTCACTCATTTCTAAGGAATTTCAAGCTTCCATCAATTAACTTAACTTTAAATCACTCTTAAAATCTTCTTCCATCACAAAGCTGAAACCCTAATATTTAGCTTTCTTGCTCTTATTGAGATGATAATCTCTCAAATTTATAGAGAAGTTTGGTGATATTACCAAGGTTTAGACCTGGATTTAAAACAATTTTAAATCTACACCTTCACATGATTCTTGTTATACTAAAGTAATGCTTGTTAAAATATTTAAATTTAATTTAAAATGTATATAAATGGTGGCGCGTTTTTCGGCAATGCACATAAATGTTAGTAATATGTTGCCTATCATCATTAATACCATTACTTATAAGGCTTTTCTAACCTTTGCTGCTTTGCCCTTAATACACAAGTTAAAGAGATCTTTTCATTATAAATATATAAAAAAATAAAAGTTGATATTAATTTTAACATCACTACTGAGTGAATGAGTTTAATTGAACAATTAATAAATTAAAAGTCAATTTTTACTTGTTCAACATATATTTATGATGAAAATATACATTTATTACACTTTTAGACATAAATTAGAAAAACGCCCCAATTATAAGCTTCAACCATATTTTGATATTTCTTTTTATTTGATATCCAATCCAAGTATTGGTTATTTAATAGTAAATGTCATTTCCCATCTTGAGACCTTAATAGCAGTGTTTTCAGAATCGGATTGGACTGGTCGGTCGAATCGGTTCAACCGCTACCCAAAAAGCAAAATGGGCTTGGTGGACACCCATACCCGTTTAGGTGGTTGGACCATTCAAACCTGGCAAACCTGTGAGACTTGTTGCACCCGGCAAACCCAGTAAAACCACCGAGTCAATTTCAATTCTCTTTGCATTTTTTTTCACATTTTTTGCTAATGGTTTATTTTGTCCCCCTTTTTTTCCTATGTTACCCTTTTTGCCCTTTTACCCATTACAATGTTTTGGTAAAAAATACAAAATCAAAACACAAATTGGTAAAATTACAAGCCCTACAAACCAATCAACTCTTTCTTCTCTAGAATCTCCCCTTATGTATACCTCTTTGATCTCCACCCTCAATCTCTTAGCATTTGATCTTAATTATCCTCAAGCTTATCTTTTTGCTACCTCTTTGATTATAAACTACACTGCAGAGATGGACACTGAGGAGGATTTTGAATCGCCCACCCACAAATGAGCCTTCTTCTCCAATCACTGGTACAAAACTAAAATGACTGTAGAAGGGAGAATGGTTTAGGCAAATCCAATCCCATCTGAAGCTTTGGATTTTGAGGAATCAAACAGTCAAGGTTTTTAGGAGCCAAAATCAGGATATAGGTCAACTTTTGAGGGTTTTGATAAGACGAATTGAGCTCTAAGTTTGATGAGTTGGGTGTTGAGGAAAACGAATTAGATTTGGATGCTAAGAGGACTTTGGATTTTGAATCTTTAAACGAGGGAGAAGATAGAGATAGTAGTGATCAAAATCGAGAGACGAAAATTGGGGACTCAAAGGAAATGGAATCGAAAAACAAGCAGGTTGGTACCGATGAATTTGACGAGAAGAAAGAGTAAAAGAGGATGATGGGAATCAAGACAACAGCATATCTACTACGTCATGTGATCCATTACACACGCAAGGAGGTCCAGTCACGCAAGCTAGAGCTAAGAAGATGCGTGAAGCTTTAAATGGCCTTATTGAGCAGATCTAGGTTGAAAACAACATACAACAAGCAAATCGAAGCTTGGATGATTAACAAGGCATGGTAAACATCATTCAGGTTCAAGAGAAGCTTAGTTAAGGTCATTGGCAAGGAATTACACAGTTTGCGTCAAAATCGCACAATTCTACCGCAATTTATAGCAAACTGATATTTCATGTTATTTTAGGTTATTTTAGTGATTTTCACATTTTTTGTATTATTTTTGGGCTAAACATTCGCTTATTTGAAGCCCAATTCGTGGTTATTAGGTTTAGGACTTAGGGTGTTAGTTTCCTATTCTGATTAGGATTTGTTTTCTTTATTTAAAAGGCTTGTAACCCTAATGGGGAAGGAAGCAATTGAATCTGAGTTTTGAGAGACTTTTCTCTTTGATTCGTTTCAGAACTTTACAGAACTTATCAAGATTATTCTTGTGACGTTCTAACCTAACTTATCATTCTCGTTCTTAATCGTTCGAGGGTGTGGCATCAACCAACTTTATACCTCTAATTCTGGTTGCATCATAGACAACGGGTCAAGGTTTTTACCTTTGATTCTTGTTGCGACATAAACAACGGGTCAAGGTCCTATTACAAACCTAATTTGACTTTCTTGGAGTCTAGAAATCCCTTGTCGTGCTGTGAATCTCATTGTTCTTTTTAGGGTTCTCATCAGAGGAAGAAGAGAGTCAACAATGATGATGAGATGTTGGAATCAACCATCTCGAC